GCCAGCAGAGCAGGAGGGTCTCAGCCCAGGCACCCTGGGGGAGCCTGGGGCAGGATCAGGCCTCCTGATTCTCCAGCATCGGGGCTGGTAACGGGGTGCAAACAGCCATTTTCTGTACTTAGGGCTGGGGCAGATGCATCCAGCCAGTCCCAACCCCTGGTCCTTTTCGCATCCTGGACCAAAGCACTGGTTCCCTCTTGCCAGGATCCCAACAAGCTCCCAGAAACGATGCTGGAGGGATGGATGCTGGCCCTGCAGCTGCCTCCAGAAGGAACTATTCCTTGTGAGATGCTCATGGAGGGGGAAATGGAGATGGGGGAGAGGCGAGCATCGCGCCAAGGGGCAGAGCAGAGGGAGGGTTTCTCTCTCTGGGCACACGGGTGCCTCCTGCCCTGGCACAGGCTCCCACAGCTGCTCAGGGTGTGGAGACCTGGGGCTGGAAGAGCATTTTGGGAGCACCAGAAGGATTTGAGCCCAGCTCGTGCCCTGCCAAGGTGAGCTCTGGGCCTGTGGGGTCCCCCTGGTCCCTCCTGGCTTCCAAACATCTGCCCAGCTGTGCTTTGGTCCAGCCATTTGACCGATGCCCGGGCTCACCCCGTGGGCGATGCTCCTGCTTTGGCACTGAGAGCCCCAGAGGTGGCTACCGGGGCTGGGGGGGTGTTTCTGGCCCAGCCCAGGGGGTTTGGGCACCCTCCCCGAGAAGGCTGCAGTCAGCAGGTACTTACCACCATCTAGTGGCCCTTCAGCCAAGTGCGGGAGGAGGAGGAAGAGGAGGAGGAGGAGGATGCGCTGGGTTAATCCTCAGTCGTGGGCTGGGCTGGGCCTGGACCACGGGGCCCTGGGGGATGCTCAGAGCTGGGGTGTGGGGCGAGGGGCCACTGCCCGCACCCGGCTCCGGCTCTGGCCCCACAACGAAGTCTGGAGCAGCCCAAGGTGGGGAGGAAAATGGCTTTATTGTGGGTTGACGCCCTCCCCGAGCCCCCACCGTGCCCCAAAAGCATCGCAGTGGGTACCACGGGGCAGAGCTCGGGGACACCGTGCGTGGCCGGGTGATGGGACGTGGGTCTCGTCGTGCACTGGGTGCCCGTAGCCAGGGAAGGCTGGTGGTGGGGATGGTGTCACTGGTGTCTCAGCGTGGCCAGGGAGAGAGAAGCACCTGGATCTGGGGAGGGGGAGAGAGACCTGGGTGATGGTGGGGAAGGGGACACCGAGACACAGGCTGGGAGTGACACTGCCACACACGTCGGTGATGGGGACAAATGGGGAGGTCTCTCTGCCCCAGGTGGGTGTCAGGACTTTGCCTCTAGCTTGGCTGCAGCCCCTCTCTGTTTTCCCAGCCCTGACCCGTGCCTCAGTTTCCCCATCTCCCACACGCCTCCATAACGGGCTCTGTTTGGGAGAAAACCACTGCTGGGTGTCAGTGTTGGTGTCAGAGCTCACACCCAGCTCTCCAGGGGCTTTAGCACATTTCTCCCGTGGAGCCTGAAGGATTGGAAATCCGGGGAGGGACACGGGACGGGGTGGCATCGTCCCTGAACCACGACCATGGTTCCTGGTCTCGCCAGCTCCCAAGGAAAATGGAGACCAGGAGATGGAGCCAAAGACAGTCCCTGAGGCTCCGCACCCCAGGAACGGAGCCACCCCCCGCTCCCCACCCCCACTGAGAGCATCCCTGGGGTGCCACCTCTCACCTGGGACACCGAGGTCCTCATCGCTCCTCCAGCTCGTAGGCAGCCTCCAGGTAATCCTTCGGGACGATCCCCACCACGTTGTTGAGCTCTCCCACCCACCAGCCGTACACGTTGTACTCCTTGGGGGGACACAGAGGGAGAGACCTGGGTTTAGTGCCGGGGTGGGGGACACAGATCAAGGTCCCTTCCCTTCGGTACCCAGCAAAAAAATACCCCACTCCCACCTCTCCCCCTTCCCCCGGCCCCACTCTCCCCCTTCACTCTGGATCTTGAAGCTTGGGGCTCGCTCAGAAACTCGTCATTTAATTCCCACCCTGATATTTTGGGGTATTTTAGTTACAAATGGCAACCCTCGGGGTGTCCCAGGCCCCAGCCCAGAGCTCTGTGAAGCCCCTCCGGGTGCATCGTGCCTGGATAACATGTCCCCTCCCCAGATTTCCATGTGATTTTCCCCCAACGGCAGATATTGGAGGCAAATAATAACAGAGAAAAGCTCCCCCCATCCCTGGTGTGAGGAGAGGAGGAGTTAGCACGTAACGGGCGTAAGAAGTTTGCCATCAAAAATCAAAATAGATTTTTTTTATATAAAGGAGGTGTTAGAAGTGAGGTGCACAGCAGCATGTCCCATCCCATGTCATCCCCCCACAGCCTCTCTGGGGTGTTTAATGGGTCCCTGAGTTTGTTCGTGCTTCCCAAAAGGGCTTTGCTTGGGAGAGGGGCTGAGAGTCACCAGGGACAGACGTCACTCCTGATGGATCCTGAAAGGATCCCAGGAGTCTCCCCCCTCTCCAGAGTTGGGATCCTGATGCTCCCAGGGGGGACCCACACCCCCACAAACAGCACCAGCACCAGTCAAGCCCCTGTGATGCTGCTGGAAAGAAAGGAGGGGGGAGGGATGGGGGCAACACCCCCCCCACCCCACCATCCTCAAAAATCCTGCTGGAAAACCAGAAGGAAAAAAAAAAAAAAAAAATTAGGTCTATTTGTTGGAGACCCGTGGGCAGAGGGGCCGAGGTGCACCCCAGGGTGTGATGGGGAGCCCCCAGCCTCCACTCGCCACCCCCCCATCCCACCCCCCCAGCTCGGAACGCTATGAGGTATTTTAAAATAATTTCTGCTTTGATGAATTGCCGGGTGGCCCGCGATTGCTCATAATCAAAGGGAGGAAAATGCAAATGAGAGCCAGCCGAGAACTCGCGGCACCGAGCGTTTATTTCACCGCGCAGTGCCAAAAAGAATTAAAACAACATTAAACTCCCAGCAATAATGTTTAAGTCCTCGTTTCCAAGTGCCAAATTGCACCACTCTGGATCATACAGATGTTCGTTAATTATGCTAATTTTTATTAAACTATTAAAACGAGGAGTGCACTGGCACAGCAAGGCAGAGCCCAGTGCAGGGTGAACTCTGCTCTCTCGTCTGGAGGTGCTCATTTACATCTCGCTGATGCCTGATACCGGGTTTTGGAGGGGGGGGGTGGGATGAGGAGGAGGAGGAGGAGGGAGTTCT